AAAAGCCCAAGAGTCATATGACCCCCTATGAGCAAGCACTTTGGTGATTTTTAAAATAAACTTTCAAAGTTATGTTGCAAAGCACATGGTTAACTTGAAATACAATATGTAACTCAAAATTTCATGTCATCTTCTCTGAAATGTGATTTACAATGTTAAAAATGTAAGATACCACCAAATTACCTGAAATTATGACTTATAGATGGCAAAAATGTTTTGTTTTGTTTTTGCTTGGATAGAAATGTCCTTCCTACTGGCCTCCCAATTCATTTAAAAAGCTGCCACTAGAATACTGCCTACACACCAAGAAGAGAGAACACATTAAACCAATTTGTTCTGGCTTCTTGTGTAATACAGCACTGAACTTCAGGACCTGGATTGCAGAATAAAGAAACAAAAAGCAGACACATCTCTCAGACCTGCAAGGACTGGTTCAAACCAAATCCAACAAACTGACTTTAAACCAGTGCACAGTTGTGATTCAGCTGCATTTGGGGCCTAGAGCTGCCCCAACTCGAGCTATGTTAAAAGCCAAGCTAATGACTTTTTTCTACTGCTTTTACTTAATATGGACCTTGTACTTATTTAATAAATTCAGATTTAATCTTACCTGCTCATTCATTCAACTGGTTCATATTTTATTATGTTATTTTCTTTATATTTTACTTTTTTCCCGTCTTTGGCTTTTAAAGTGTTCTGTTTTAAATTTGCATTTTAATATTCTTATGAAGTTTTCCTTTCTTTTAAATATTTCAGTAGATTATGGAGAGCCCGTTGAAATGCCTGTGTGTATAAACTGTGTGTGTCCGTGTGTGTGTAGACGTTAGTGCCTTCGTGTGTATGTTTCCTTTTGTGTAAGTGTGCGAGAAAAATCGAGCGAGCGCGCTCACAAGTTAATGAAGCAGTCACATATGCTTTGTTTTCCCATCTGTTGTCAGTGTCCTCACAAGGTACTCTGAGTGATGTCAAACAGCAGGAGGACTATATATTTCAACAAGAACTTCATTTAACCAACGAGCCCTGTCAGAAGTAAATGTCAAGACGTTTGGGGGGGAAATGACTGAATAACAAAGTTGGAACATGTGACAGAAATCCCTCATTTGGTTTTAGACGTGTATCCTCTCACATAACTGTTAAGAAACGCTTGAAACTTGGGAATGCACATGAGCTGCAGTAGTATTGCTCACGCGGATTCAAAGTATGACATGGTTTGCTTGGTCTAAACAATTTGTCTTGCACACTTTCTTGGCTTACACAGGCAGTATTTAAAAACCTCTGTGCAAGTAGGAGACACGAGTGCCATCCAGTTGTTTTGTTTTGGGGTTTTTTGGGGGGGGGGGTTGTGTTTTTGTTTTGTGGTATAGGCGATAATTAGTTTGTATAATAACTGCAGGGTGTGCTGACCTGTGCTATTTCTCTCTGGTTGAATGGCGGGAGAGCGGGGAGAAAGAAAATCATGATAATTAGATGATGCACTGACCTGTAGCCTTCCTGCTAATTTTTCTTCTCTGCCTAAATTTGCTGAAACAGGCAACATGAGGCGGTAGAGGCACCCACATTAAATCTAATGACAAAGAACATCAAGCCCATCACTGGAGGCAAAGCTGGTTCTAAAACAAAACAATGATAAACAGAAAGGCAGGAGGGAATGTTTGTAGGCTTATTTATTGGGTGCACACATATGTAATCATAATCACTGATTTTAGTTAGGTTCAATTTCTCTGATTATATCACTGCATGCCCTTTCTCCAAGGACATATTACCAACTATGATGACGCTGTTGTTTTAATGAAAATAATTCATTTGATAATAGTAAAACGATTCTGTGGACAAGGCAGCAGCTTCCTAACACCACGTTCAGTCAGTGTATTTAGTTTGAGCACATTACCCCAATTTTAATTTCACTCCACTGGCTACCTGTACATTTTAGGATTGTTTTTAAAATTCTCTTATTTGCTTTTAAATCTCTTAATGGCCTGGCCCCCCCTACCTCTCGGAGCTACTACAACCATATACACCTCCCCGTTCCCTTAGGTCCGCCAATCAGCAGCTCCTTAAGGTACCAAAAACTAAGTATAAATCTAAAGGTGATCGTGCTTTTGCTGTAGTTGCTCCAAAGTTGTGGAATGATCTACCCTTGCATGTTAGGCAGGCCTCTTCTCTCTCTGAATTTAAAAGTCTTCTTAAAACATATTTATTCACTGAAGCCTTTGGCATTGATTAGAGGGGTTGACTCAATTTGTTTTGACATGTTTCAATTTATTTTAGTTTTTTAGTTATTTATTTTATCTTATCTCATTTTAATTTTCTTTACTTATGCTTTTAGCATGTACAGCACTTTGTGAACTCTGGTTTTATGTTAAAGTGCTTTATAAATAAAGGTGGTAAGGTAAGGTAACTACCAACACATATTTCAAAGCCCTTGTAAAAGGAGAACCATGCTCAGTCTTGACATTTTATTTAAGGGTGCTTAGCAAGGCTGAATAAACACTATCTGTGTGTGTGTGTGTGTGTGTGTGTGTGTGTGTGTGTGTGTGTGTGTGTGTGTGTGTGTGTGTGTGTGTGTAGTACGTGGCCAAAAAATGTCCCCTGGTTAAATGACACTTTGGAAAAGTTACATGTATTTCACTGCCTGCTGCTTTGGTGGGGTGGTGGGGAATCTCTATTCTCCCTGTTGCACGTATGCTTGTGTGGACTTATCAGCATAAAAGCTCAAACGTTGTCTTTATTCAAATCATCAGGTTTGACCTAAGTGAATGGGCTTGTGCTGGACATTAGAGGTGACACAGCTGCAACCTACAGTAGATGCATAAATGGGTATACTTAGGATGCACCAGTAGGGATCATGATGATTGGGGTCGATACCAAGAGGAACACAGAAATAGCACAAAAAAGTCAGTTCCTCCAGCTGCTGCTTGAGGCTGCCTCCAAAAGCGAGTCAGTCCCAGTAGATTAGCATCTTAAAATGCCCAACTTTAAAGCAGAAAAACATGTTTACAGCCCTGTGCTCTATAGCTAATTCCCACTTCTAAACAACTATACAGCAGTGTTTTTGTTTTCTTTTAACATGACTCATTTTTTCTGGAAGAGAGTTTTATACAACCTAGGACACTTTCCTCCATATTTCAAAGCTATGACATCACAAAAATGTGACTGGTCAATGTTGATCATGGAAAAACATTATTAATGGGATATCTCACAGACCCATTTGTGCTATAATCAGCTAATTTCAGTTCATGTGCAGGAGGAGGAAAATGTGGTGATAGAAACATAGTTTTTTTTCTTTGATAGCACAAAGGGACAAGCTCATGATTAGTCCAGGACAGAAACAAGCACCGCTAACACAATCTCAGTTCTTTTGCAACCCTCTACACAAAAACATGCTAACACAAAGCTAGTCAAGAGCACAGAATGAAGACAAAGTTAATCGCATGCTGGCCCCAGCCCAACAGCCAGAGTCTGAAGTTCAACAGGTAACAGAGGCAGTGACGTTGTAGCCTCCATTCCCTATTTGTAAAGTAGAATTACCATGGCGATCCCTTTAAAGTCTCTTTGAGTTTGTTTTCAACTTTGCTTTGTGTGCTTGGCACATTACATACGTACATGCTAAAGGAAAGATTGTATATGTGTCTCATTCAGACAGTCATTTGAGTTGTGTGCAGAACTGTAGCCTATGGTTGATATTCCTAACTTGTAAGTATGAGACAATTTATTTCCATTCATTTTACTTAGATGAAAAGTACTGAGTAATGTGTAATCTGTTACTTGTTTTGAGTAAAGACTCCAACACTGGTTATGATTCAACAAAGCTAAGCTGAAATAGTGATAGTGTATCTGTATGTGCCTATATACTGTTTTACATAACTTAAATAATGTCTAATTTTCAACTTTAACTGAAGACAAAGACGCATTCGAAAACAGAAAGTGTTGTTGCAAACTGTTGACCTGTTGACCTGCTTACTCTAACTGAACAGAAGAAGTGATGTGTTCATTGTGTGACATAGAAGGCCGTTTGCCAGAGAAAACTTTCTCTGTGCTGATCTAAAATCAGATTACTAGCAGCCTAGTAGGACCACAAACGTGAGGTAAAAGTGAACTTACATCATCAGGGGTGTGATGTGGAGACTAGTGATGCGTCTTGCATTCATTAATTCAGCTTTGTAAATGGAGGTAACTGCATACTCCTAGTTTCTGGATTTTGCTTTGTACTATGAAAGCTTGGCTTTGGACTGAAGTCGCTATACCTTGGCCATTTCTACTTTGACCTATTTTTTCCCTTTTTTGTCTCCCTTCCCTTTTATAGAAGCCATTAAAATACTCCAACATTATGCAAATGTAATCCTAAGTCACTGGAGACACTCTCCAGCAAAGTGCTTATATTAGTCAAAGGCAGATTAATAGAAGAAACCATCTGGTGGACATCCAAGGTAACATTTACTTCTGCATGATCTTTGCTGTAAGACACACACACGCACAGACACACACTGCCTCCATCTCCATTACCAGCACATTGTAATAGCCATGCTCAATTAAGCACACCTACACCCAGCAGGCAATTGGTGCTCATTAACCTGCAACCTCATTAAAGACACCATGCCTCGTCACTAATGACACTCCCCATATTCGCTCTGTGTGCTTGCTTCTGAACGCCCTCCTGGCACAGTGGCATGGCGCAGTGATTATGCTAATTGCTTAATTATTCAGCAGAGATAATAAGTCAGCACATGATAATCTCACATGATAATCGAGTGAGATACCTGGATAAGGATAATAGAAAATTTCACACTTTTGAGCAGAGTAAAATTAAAGTTTAATATTCATTATATGGGTATAAGATAAAGAACAAAGAAGAAGCTTATCTGTCATTAGAATGTGACGGATCTTGCAGGTTTTAATTAGAAAATGGGGATTTTTAGAAGATTTCAAATGTGAAATAACTTCATTAAAATCAATTAAGCAAACATAAGAAGGGTGAGAAAAAAATCCATTTCTGTGCTTACCCTGAGTTTTTCATAGCGGTCGCTCAGTGCTGCCACCTGGTGGTCCCTGTGACGTCCAACTAACTTGCAGAGTGAGCAGATGAGCTGGTCGTCAGTGACACAGTACATGTTCACTTTTTCCTCCTCGTGCTCCAGGCACTGGAGCCCTCTGAGGTGGCAGTCCGGCATAGGCTCGATGAGCCGGTGGCCGGTGAACGGCTTCTTGTTGGGGTGCGTCGCTCTGAGGCATTCGTCGCAGTACGACACCTCGCACGTTACGCATGTCTTAACAGCGTCCTGTGGCGGGTCCTGCTCGCAGAACTGGCACTGGACCGGCTCCGGAGGTGTGCTCGGGCTGGACATGGCAGCGCTGAGGGGGACCAGGGCCAACCGGTTGCTACCTTCCTCGCCGGGAGAGTTGGGCCCACTGTGAGGGGCAGGCAACGACAGCGGCAGGGGGAGCCCGGCCGAAGATGAGGCCCGTTGAACTCTATCAATAATATTCTGCAAGGTCACGTTTCTCTTAAGTCCTTCTAGTCCACGCTCTGGACTCAGGGAAATGACATATCTACAGGTGGGGCACTGGAAGGCGCCGATACTCTGAACTGATTCGTTGGTGGTGCAGTGGGAGACGAGGATGCGGTGGGCGCAGCCGAAGCACAGGCTATGGGCACAGGGGAGCAGCAGTGGGTCTTCAAAGAGCTCCAGGCAGATTGGACAAGTTAGCTCTGACTCCAGAGTGTCCATCCTGATTAAAAAAGGCCAGGCGGGACCAGGCGCAGTGTCAGCGAAATCCAGAAGAGCCACTCAGCTGTCTGGAGGCCAGAGAAATAGATGGAGGCGAGCAGAGAGAGGGAGAAAGGAAAAGAAAGCAGGGGGATTTGTGATTAAATGGTGTGAAACAGCTTACTTCTCTACGCTTTCTTTGGAGGGCTTATATCTCAATGGAGCAGACCACTGAGTTGACTTAAAGTACCGGGTTTTCTACGTCTGACTGAAGACTGAAAATAAGATTAAGCAAACAGATTAATTAGCATGGTTCAGCATGTTCCACCAATAAGCATTTAGAAGTTTAAAATCAACACCTGACGATAATTTGGCTGTGGAGCTTCTACTTTTGTCCACAGTATTAAGTAGAAAGGAGGCACAGGGGTCTATAAATTCCAAATTGTTTATATACTGCCTGCGACAGTGGCCTCAAGGATCTTTATTTTGTAAGCTACATACCCTTCAACATTAGAGAGAAAACCTCATTTATTAGACAGTTCTCTATGAGCAAAAATGTGGTGATGGTGGGAAGGAAGAACTCACTTTGATGAGGAACAGACAGCCATCTACGGAGCAATGAGGTTAAAAAGAAGACCGAAAAGAAGAACACAGCAAGGCGACAAATAAAAGACAAGGCAAAACTACAGGAGAGATGCTCAGTGCTTGATGGGAGGTTCCTCATCATGGTTCTAGGTCATCTGACCCAGCCCTAATGATATCCTTTATCAAAAATTTAAAAAAATCTCAAGCTTAATCTTGAAAGTGAAAATAGCTGGGAGCCTATTAGCAAGATTCAAGACAGTCTAAGTTAGAAAAAGGTGCATTAGTATCAAAAAACAAGCTGAGGAGAATGTTGCTAGTCAGTTTGGAGGTTTCTTCCTGTTAAAATGGGATTTTTCCTTCCCACTGACACCAAGTGCTTATTTATATGAGGCCATATTTATATGGCCTGATTGTTGGGGTTTTCTGTTGTGTATTACTGATTTGGTGCTTTATATATACATTTCAATTGTACTAACAGAAAACGTAAAGACCATTCTGTAGGCTGAAAGCCAAACATATAGTTGCTCTAACAAATATCTCATGGTCTTTATAGCAGCCACATTGCAGATGTGCTGTTGACCCACTTTGTGCCCTTTTGTGATTCTCATTGTTGTTGACCGCAGTACGCTATAGGTTTCCCTATGCTTGGATTAACAAGATTACACACCATCAGCAGCAGCTGCTGCCGTCAAGAAGCATCTGTCAGGCTGGACTTAAAACTACTGAGCCACAAGCCAGTAATGCAACTTCTCACTAATCAGATACTTTATGTAACTAGTGTGCAATAGTGGCAGTGAGGTTCGCTTTATCCCTCGTCCTTTACCATTAAGTCACTGTACAGATAGTACAGCATGGAAGCCCCGAAAAGACAAGTGACAGAAAAGGCCTTAACAAAAGTCTAAGAGCAGGTTGAAGACGTATTTTTTTTCCAACTTGCTCTTAAATGGGTGGGATTATGGGATATATGTTTGTGCTCTACTCATTTTGGCTACAGAAGGCTGATCCCACTCATGTTTTCTCAAATAATATTTAATTGCCTGATGCATGATAAACACACAGAGTACATTTTGTGCTAGCACCTTCTGTAACATTACTATCTTTCTTTTAGCTATGCACTAGAAGGGGTATAATTTTCCCAGCATGCTCTGAGTGAGACAAAATAATTAGTGTTCCAAGTCATCTAGTACATCATGTTCTAGCAAGAAGCACTGCAAGATCAGATAAGGGTAGCCGACAAATGTTTTAACTAGCTACACTGAAAGTTTCAGAACTCATCCGAAACTACTGTGTTCACAGACTGAATGAGGCTCGCACACAAACTCGACATAACCTCTTTGGCGGAAGTAATAATGCTTCAAAGAAATGACTATAGATTGTTCTTCTCACCTGGTTCACATTAAAGAAAGGAAAGAAATGAAATGAAATTTGATGAAGCTTGATGATATTTTTAATGGGTTTTTATGTCTTTTGAGGCGTCCGTACATTCATTTCAAGCTATTTCAAGCTTACTTTTGCTCAAATCATATAAATTCAACTTTGATGCACCTTTACCACTCGAGTTGAAATGGGAGTCTTGTTTTAACATTGACTACAGCTGTGGCTCCATCTGCCACATCTGGAGTCAGTTGCTAATTAGAACACATGCCAATTCATTTCTCCTGCAGAGCCGCTGACTCTGGATTTCCACGTGAACCTCCGTGCTGTCAACATGTCTCCAAGAGACTCAGGAAGAAAATGTAGAAGAGGCTCAAACTCAACTCAAATTTAGAAACACAAAACAACAAAATGTAGCAAGATTTACTGTTTTATAAATTCCTGATTATGTTGGAAAGCATTAAAGGGGAGCTGCCTGCTAATTAATATAACTAAAAGTGCTCAAGTAAGCTAATAAATAAGTGTGGCTCTGTTTCCAGTCAGTTCTAACAAAGACAAGTTACCTCTGAGACTTTGCCTCCAAGTTAAAAATTCAACAGTGCATGCTTTCTTCATTTCTGAACTCATAGCCCTAGGCCTTTTAATACACTTTTGGTTAATTTTAAGAAGATAAATTGGATTTTACTGTAGCTGAAAACGTCAATGAAAAAAAATCCCTATTTTAGAAGTGAAATAAAAGTGAAACCAACCCTTAGGGCTAAAAGGATCTTTGCCAGTTTCAGGAAATGTGTCACAGCACAAAAAAAGAAAAAAGAAAGAAAGAAAATGTCAGATTAGCACACAGATAATTCTGAAAACAATGAGATTTGAAAAATAAATGATTTTGAGTATGAATGCATTTGATTATAATGAGTACGTAAATTGATGTTATAAACCATGCTCCAATTTCTACACACTTTAAGCATAATAACGACAGTGACACACACACACACACACACAAAAGAAAAATGCAAGGAATGAAATGAAATGCAGGAAAGAAATCCGCTCTTATCTCCATGGTGCGGCCCTTTCAGCAGATGTCACTGTTTACTGAGATTAAAACTCGTGTGAGTGGACTGCTGCACTCTGAATATCTCCTCTTCATTCTCTAATCTATCTTTATGCATGGCTTCCTCTCATCCTCTGGGGAAAAAAACAAAAAAACAAGTGCTGCAGATAAACTGTCCTCATATGAGCTCAGCACAGTCCAACCACCACTTTTAGTACCTGTGATATTTGAGATCAGATATTTACTGTGAGACCTGATGAGCTGGTGAAAGAGATGGGATGGGGGGAACTGTGTACATAGACGTATTACCAAGCAAGCCCTTGATCTCTTACATTTATATCAGAAGGGAAACGCCAAATGCTGGAATCAAGCAAATATGGAAGGATATACAGAGGAAAATGCAAGTAATTGAATGTGGGAGATGGGAGTGATTTGGCAATCGCATGCTTTAAATGAAACGGAATGGGTATGTGTTTGCTTGGACTGTTAAAAACAAACACTCAGAGAGACACACTCATCTACACTGGCATTGCAGCATGTGCACACACAGTGATACATACTCATTAGCACAAAACACCTACTCTGAAACATCTAAGATCCTCTCTGAGGTGCTTATAATGGCAACTAATCTGTCAGTGAGCCCCGAGCTTTCCGACTGTCAAATAAAACTTGGAGGGTTGAAAGGGTTAGCGTATACTGTTATTCTTTTGGTCGAATTGCCTTTTCATAACAGCATCGTTGGATGTTAGCTTACAGCAGCTCTGAAGCTAAATAATCACTAAATGAGCAGTTTCAACATGAGGGAGCAAAGTTTATGTAGTAGGGTGAGATGTAATCTTATTTAGCCCAAGTATTTGACAGTATGCATCTGCGGTCATGTATGTAAACACAAACTTAACACACAGACTTCTCCAAATGTAAGATCATGGCAGAAGAGCTCCAAATTCACTCCTACCTAAATGCAAGCAATGTAAGATTGGGACAAACCCAAATCTTTCAACTTTTTTTATGATTTTTTACAACAAGAGGCTGCGACTTGTGTAGGGAAGAGTTATCATCAATCTCTGTATTTTAACTCCTGTCAGGTGTGTAAAGTTTTTTGTGACAACAAAAAATCTTCTTAAATCCTACTTTTACCTGGCATGCAACCAATAGTAGCCATACTAAGTTAGCAACTAGCTTGTGGCTAAAGATGCCGAAAAGCTTGATAAGTAATTTTCTAGACAAACTCTAGAACTTGAACTAAATGCATATGTTGTCATTTAAAGCCAAAAAAACAAGCCCTTGAATAGCTGTACACCATTAGCCTAACAGTTGGAAGACTAAGCTAAGTTAAGCTAACTTAACTTGCTGGTAAGACTGAAAAGAGGTCATTGTAACCTGTTAAATCTGGTATCCTCTTTATTTTAGCTTAATTAGATATGATGCATTAGCCAAACATCTTTTTTTTAACTTTTTTTATAATGTTCTACTATAATAATAAAATAATTTAGATATGTTTATAATACCCTTTGTTTATTTGTTTATCTATGGATTCTAATATCTAATATGTTACATATGTTATTTCAATAAAACTAATGAAACCCTTAAAACTTAATCCTAAAAACATATTTTGTTAAATCCTACTTATAATTAGAAAAATTAGATGACACATCTTCCCTCCTTCAAGGTGATTTCTTTGGATTTCTGCTATTGTTGCAGGACAGGGTCAAAATGACCAACCATGGCAGTTGTGAGGGGAATGAATGATGCAAGTGGTTCTAGTAGAGCCTCATAAGCTAAAGTGAATGATAACTATTTACTGAAACATCAGCTTTTTTTACTGTTCAGTGCACTTTTATGCAATCTAGTAATCATCAGTTTATAAGATACTAAAATATAAAACCATATAGCATTGTGTATCAGGTGATTTTTTTTAAAGTATTCCTATAGGGCAGCAAATTGTATTTGCCCTATTTATTAATATCTGTAATGAGTTTTCACTAATAAGCGACTGGGCATTTAAAGCTAATGTGTTTGTACAATCTTTCTGCACATGTTTAATAATTTCCCCTTTTTCTATCAGTAACAAACATCTCAACG